GAAAGGCGGGTGTGTGGAGAGTGGAAGTGGGAAAGGCGGGTGTGTGGGGCTTGCTTAGTGACCCATCCTGAATGAGAATGGATAAGGAATAAGATTAGGGACATCTACTCCTATGTGACAGTCCTGTGATCATTTTCCTATCGGCTATAGAGCAAGGAGCAAGAATAGGAAAGCACTGTGACTTTTTAGAAAGCTTTAATATAGTGGGTATTCTGACTTTGTTTTGTTGAGAAAGGTTCTCACTTTGATGCCCGGGTTGTCTTGGAACTCATTACATAGCCCAGGCTAGCCTCAATGCCAAGTGTTGGTTTTACAGGTAGCAGCCATCATGACCAGTTACTTTATTGGGTATTTTGGAAGAACAAAATCTGAAAACTGAAAATTAAATGCTGAAGCAGGGATGGGGCTTAAGAGGAAATGGTCCACGATATAGATACACATCAGTTATCTTCAGCTGAGATGGTTTTCCTTCCACCTGATATATTTTTCAATTTCTCACCTTTCATAATCATAAATGAAATCGTTTTTAAAAGAGGAAGTCCTTTTGGCAGCCTCTGCTTATTTGGAAATTAGGGGGATGTGTGGAGGAAAATGTAACCAGGGCAGGCAACTGGCCCTTTCAACACAGACAAAATCTCCTGCAGTTTGAGCTAAAACAGTGGTAGTGGTAGTTAGAAGAATTGCTGTTCTCTCAGAATAGAGAAACAAGGGCATCCTACACTAGTACTTGGGCAACTGGGAAGATAAGGGACCTTGAACTTGAGTAATCAGAGGAAGGTGGCTTGGAAGATAATAGTGATGGGTCTTAGACAGTCTCACCATGTAGCCCATGCTGGCCTCAAACTTGTAATCCCTCTGCCTCAGCTTTCAGAATGCTAAGATTATAGGAATGTTCATAGAAGCTGACATCCTTGGGACACTGAGTTGGAGGTCACAGTGAGGTGACCAGGGGAAGGATGATGAGTGCAGCTTTAGGAAACAGCCCGCTCACCTCACACTCACACTCAACACTTGCTCCTCAGGTACTTGAAGTGGTGGTACCGGAAGACCCAGGTGGAAAAGAAGACCCCTTTCATCGACATGTTCAATTCTTTACCCCTAAGACAGATCTATGGTGAGTCTCAGCTCAGCTGCCCTTTTCAGAGAGGGTCCGACTTCTATGCTTCTGCAGAGTCAGGCAAAAAGGCTTCTAAGTTTATGCATAGCTCCATTCCCTAAGGTTTTAGAAACCTTGGGTTTGCTTTCTTCTTCCAGTCCTCCACTAGCCATCCTGACTTTCTTTCTAGGTTGTCCCTTGGGTGGCATTGGAGGAGGCACTATCACCCGGGGCTGGAGAGGCCAGTTCTGTCGTTGGCAGCTTAATCCTGGAATGTACCAGCACCGGACAGTCATTGCAGACCAAGTAAGAAAGGGGGTTGGGCAGGCAGAGGAGTGACTCTTGGCTAACATAGGATGTAGCAGTTAGACATCCATATGGTCCAGTTCAGTAAATGCTTTCAGGATGCTGTGTGCCCAGCCCAGTACTAAGATGGACAATAGGTTATGATAAACACAGACCTCATGTTCTTTGGAAGAGTAAACAAACAGCCCTGATAAATCTCATGTACTTGTCTCCTGCCTAATCTTCTAAGCACTAGCTCAGCCAGTACCCACCAAAGACGAGAAATTCCTGGATCATTTAAACTGGCTAAAAAAACATTTGGTACTTCATGGGGTTGTACATCCTTTTAATCCTAGTATTTGGGAAGCGGATGCAAAAGGATCAAGAGTTCAAGGCTAGCCTGGGCTACTTAAGACAAAACAAAGGTGGTGGGCAGTGAGATGGCTCAAAAGGTAAAGCCACACAGGTCTGACAACCTGCATTCCATCCCTGGACCCATAGGATGGGAGGGGAAAACGAGGCCCTACAAATTGTCTTCGAAGCTTCATGCATAGCTTTACTGTTTACTATGGCATCTGCATGCTATGGCATCGGTGTGGAGGTTGGAAGACAGCTTGTAGGAAGGAATGGGTTCTCACCTTCTACCATGTGGGCTTGGGAGATTAAACTCAGGTTGTTAGGCTTGGTGACAAGTGCCTTCACTTGCTTGAGCCATCTTGACTGGCTCTCAGTTTTGTTTTGGTTTTAAAAAAGAACATTTGAAAAGACTGGAAGAGAAAAAGTAAAACCTAAAAAGTCATGGTGGGAAGAGGTGCATAGTGCTAAGTCTCCTTACCTAGATTAGTAATACTTTAGCCAAAGGTCAGCTCCCCTGCTGCAGGTCTCCGATGGTCTGCCCAGGACTCCCTTTAACCCTTCTCTCTAGCCTTCCTTGCTTGTCTAAAGCTTCAGGTTTTTAAATTTCTGTTTCTATATCATATCTGGGCCTTAATTGACAGTATATGACCTGTCCTTCACCAAAGCTCTCAAATGACCTCCCCTTCTAAGTTAGCAAGTTCCCCTTTCCTGAGGGATACCTCTAGCTTTCAGCTTACCTCCCAAGGAGAGATGACTGGCAGATCTCAAACCGATTGGTGAGTATCCTTCTCAATCCAAGTTTAGTGGCTGTGCTCAGTATCCAACCTCCACCCCAGGCCCAGGCCTCGGCTCTTCTTTTTTTGCAAGCCATACTTGGAAACATGGGTCTGCAGTAATTATTGCCTGTATATACTGTGTCAATACACTGTGGTAGGCTTTGGGGATATTTATATTTTAAAAATCCTACAAAGTACCATTATCATTATTTTACAGATAAGGAAACAGAATCCAGAGGGCATTAGTAACTCAGTGCCCTCAAAGCAGCATGGTAGCCAGTACTCTCTGTGACAAAGAGTTGGTGGTCTTAACCATTTGTACTTTACTGGCAACATGAAAAATTATTTTATGTCTGGGCCCACATGTGTAATCCCAGCACTGAGGCAGAAGGATCACCAGTTCAAGGCCAGCCTGAGTTACAAAGCAAGACACTATCTCAAAAGAGACAGAAGGGAAAGAAAACTTTATATCAATAAAAATACCAAGTGTAGTTTGGAGTAATGGAAGAGATTAAGCTGTCAGCATTCCTCCTCTCTGGAGCCTAAGGTTCTACTGGAGAAAATAAGACTTGGAGAAAATGGAGTCTGTCACCATGAGGTGGGCCCGCAGTAGACTGAAGAAGCAGACAGTACTACAGAGACTCTGCACACATGCCAGCTCCGTGAGGTCCACTTCAGTAAGCTAGAAAATGACCCCTGCCCTCAGAGTGAGCCATGGGACAATTGGAGACACAGGGTAGCAAATAAAAACACTGTGAAGTAATTCCCCAAATACTAAAGAGGAATAAATTGTAACAAAATGGCTTCCTGTTGTAGAGGAGGAGGAGGAGGAAGAGGAGGAGGAAGAGGAGGAAGAGGAGGAAGAAGAAGAAGAGGGGGAGGAGGAGGAGGGGGAAGAGGAGGGGGAGGAGGAAGAAGAGGAGGTGTCTGACTCAGACCCTTGAAGGATGAGGGGATCTGACTGGATGGAGACAGGCAGACACATGAAGAGGAAGTGAAGGATGCTCACAGACTGGAAGAGTGTCTGTGTATTTGTGTGACCAGGTTAGAGTTTAGCATTCAACCTGAATGCTATAGGAGTCACTAAAACATGCTAGGCAGCGGTTGGCACATACTGATTTGTTACATCATTTTCTGCTACCAAGCTAAGAGGCAGAGATAGTATAAGCCTGATTAAGGTATCAAGATCAGGCATGAAGGGAGGAGGGCTTGGAGCTGACTGGACAGGGAGGAAGTAGGTCAGGCGCTGGTTCACTGAGCTGGGAGGAAGGCCTGGAGACAACCTAAGGCTGGTGGTGACAGGGTCTGCAAAGGAGTGCTTTGGGGGAGGGGACCAAGTGTGTGTTGCCTGTGGGTCACTTGTTCCAGCCTGTTTGCTCTCTTGATCAAGTTTATAGTATGCTTGCGCCGAGATGGGCGGACTGTGTATCAGCAAGTTCTGTCCTTGGAGCTTCCGAAGGTCCTGCGCAGCTGGAACTGGGGCCTGTGTGGTTACTTTGCTTTCTACCACGCCCTCTATCCCCGAGCCTGGACAGTCTATCAGCTTCCTGGCCAGAACGTCACCCTCACCTGTCGCCAGATCACACCTATCTTGCCTCATGACTACCAGGTGAGGATTCCTGCTGTTTGCTCCATTCCATGCCCTTGCCCACATCCACTGCTGCTAGAAGACAGAAGGAAGTGTAGTGGGTACCGTTTGAGGAGGTTCTCTCCGGCCACTGCTGAGGACACACTGAGACTGAGTCCGACCTCTCCTCCCCAGGACAGCAGTCTCCCTGTGGGAGTCTTTGTGTGGGACGTAGAAAACGAAGGAGAGGAGACTCTGGACGTGTCCATCACGTTCTCCATGCGGAACGGACTAGGAGGGGACGATGATGCTGCCGGAGGCTTGTGGAATGAGCCCTTCCGCCTGGAACAGGATGGGACGACTGTACAGGGGCTACTGCTGCATCATCCAACCCCTCCGAACCCCTACACCATGGCTGTGGCTGGACGATGCACGGTAAGGGAAGAGTCTGCTCTATACCCCTCCCTGGGAGCCCCTGCCCTCACAGCCTGACCTGAACCTACTTTACCTCTCACGGTCTTCCATTTCTTCAACTCCTGAGTCCGGTCCTCATCACAGCCCTCAGCCTTTAGAACTTGGAGGTGACATTGTGTAAGGAGTAGAAGAGCTAGTCCAGTATGCTTGGACGTGCCTTTACAGAGTCTCTGGCTTCTTAACAGGCAGATACCACGGTAACCTACACCACAGCCTTTGACCCTGACAGCACTGGGCAGCAGGTGTGGCAGGACCTACTTCAAGATGGACAGCTGGACTCCCCTGCTGGTGATGGGGGGTTTGACTGGGCGGTGTTGGGAAGAAAGGCTCTATCCTGTCTTAGGACCAGGGGTGGAAGACCTGAGAATGAATAGACCTTGTCTTCAAATTAGGAGTCCCTAGCTTTGGGACTCAAGGAGGTGCCTGTGCTGATTCCTCTGATTCTTAGGCCAAAGCACCCCAACACAGAAAGGAGAGGGTATCGCTGGGGCTGTATGCATCTCCAGCAAGCTGCTACCACGAGGCCGGTGCTGCCTGGAGTTTTCTCTGGCTTGGGATATGCCTAGGATCATGTTTGGAGCTAAAGGCCAAGTCCACTACAGGTAAATGCATGGATCCAAAGATGGGGGTGACTCTAGCCTAGAGCATCTGTTCTTACGCCTTTCTTTTCATCCCAGGCGGTATACACGGTTCTTTGGTTCAGATGGTGATGTGGCACCTGCTCTGAGCCACTATGCACTGTGCCAATATGAAGATTGGGAGAACAGAATCTCAGCATGGCAGAACCCAGTACTGGATGACAGGTGCCAGAAGTACCCTCTTGTAGTTTTTCCCAGGCACTTACTCCCAATAGGACTTGATCTGTTTCCCCAGCAGTCAGTCAGGCTGTGCTGGGATCCACATAGTGCCCCTACTCCTCTCAACTCTAGAATCCCTCATAAAGATCTACTCCCTCCTCTTGGCTTCCCAGAACCTTGCCTGCCTGGTACAAATCTGCACTGTTCAATGAATTATACTTCCTGGCCGATGGAGGCACAGTATGGCTGGAAGTTCCTGAAGACTCCCTACCAGAGGAGCTGGGAGGGAGTATGTATCAGCTTCGCCCTATTCTGCAGGACTATGGGCGATTTGGCTATCTTGAAGGTATGGAAGACCAATAGATTGGCATGGGTCAAGCTAGCTGTGTCGTACATAACACAAGATGACAGATGTTGCCTATCCTGAGATACCAACAGGATAAGGGATGAATTGGAAACACAGAAAGATGACTGTGTCCTACTTCCAGCTTTTGAAGAGCTACCGAGCAGAAGCTGGCATTTTGGTAACAGTGTCTCTCTCACTCCTCCAGGCCAGGAGTACCGCATGTACAACACATACGATGTCCACTTTTATGCTTCCTTTGCCCTTGTCATGCTGTGGCCCAAACTTGAGCTCAGTCTTCAGTATGATATGGGTAACTTCTCTAAGCTTTCTCTGCCCTTGAGCCTTCACTGTCTCTCTCATAACGTGTCCTCCCCTTCCTCTTGGGCATGCCTGCATCTGGCTCATTAGTTCTCTGGGGTCACACAGCACTGTGCCCCACCCCAAGCCTGCCCATTCCCTGCTTTCCCTCACGTACTTGTGGCTCCGCTCCCCCAGCCCTGGCAACTTTTAAGGAGGACCTGACCCGGCGACGGTACCTGATGAGTGGAGTAGTGGCCCCTGTGAAAAGGAGGAACGTTATCCCTCATGATATTGGGGATCCAGGTAAGATTCCACTACCCCAAGGTCAACTCCGTCTGTCAGTTTCTATACCCACTATCCTGTCCACCGATGCACTTAACCGGGTCCCCTCCCCTCCAACAGATGATGAGCCATGGCTCCGGGTCAATGCATATTTGATTCATGATACTGCCGACTGGAAGGACCTGAACCTGAAGTTTGTGTTGCAAGTTTATCGGGACTATTACCTGACTGGTGACCAAGGCTTCCTGAAGGACATGTGGCCTGTGTGTCTGGTAAGGAAAGAGAACGTAGTATCCAATATACTAGGGACATGGCTGGAGTCTTGGGAGAACCCAGATGGCTAGTATCTTTCTTAGAACCTAGTTCTTCAGTGTCTTGATCCCTCTCTAGGCTGTGATGGAGTCCGAAATGAAGTTTGATAAGGACCAAGATGGACTCATTGAGAATGGAGGCTATGCAGACCAGACCTATGATGGATGGGTCACCACAGGCCCCAGGTTTGGGGGTAGGGATTTCCAAGTATGAGGTGGGGACCCGGGCATGGGAGGGGCTGGGGCGGCCAGTGTCACTCCAGCCACTATCCCTACAGTGCTTACTGCGGAGGGCTGTGGCTGGCAGCGGTGGCTGTGATGGTTCAGATGGCTGTTCTGTGTGGGGCCCAGGATGTCCAGGATAAGTTTTCTTCCATTCTCTGCCGAGGCCGAGAAGCTTATGAGAGATTGCTCTGGAACGGTGAGTAAAAGCAGCCTGGGGCATCTTAAAGCCCAACTATGGGATACAAGCAGCTTTACTTTGTTCTTTCTCTATCCCAGGACGCTATTACAACTATGACAGCAGCTCCCAGCCCCAGTCCCGCAGTGTCATGTCTGACCAGTGTGCTGGGCAGTGGTTCCTGAGGGCCTCTGGCCTGGGAGAAGGAGACACTGAAGTAAGAGGCTAGAAAACCAGAAGATGGGTTTCCCTGGAGGTGGGAGGCAAGTCTGAGACTCTGCCTTTGCTCTCCCTCCAGGTATTTCCTACCCTGCATGTGGTCCGTGCTCTCCGAACCATCTTTGAGCTCAATGTCCAAGCCTTTGCAGGAGGAGCCATGGGGGCTGTGAATGGGATGCAGCCTCATGGTGTCCCTGATAGATCCAGTGTGCAGTCTGATGAAGTTTGGGTGGGTGTGGTCTATGGGCTGGCAGCCACCATGATCCAAGAGGTAATGTATTCTCTTCCCCATCCCTTCAACATTTGTACTGTGGTCCAGAAAACTTCCTCAGCCACTAAATATATTACAAGAACACCCTAATGCCATCTTGTCCATCCACAGAGCTCCCTTTTCCCTGATATGCGTTCGACCTCTTACCTTTAAGTTCTTGCCTTCAGGGCAAACCGCCTACTGTCTTATCTGCTCAGCTAAGGTAATTGTGCCAAGAGTCAGTTATTCCGTGTGACTTCTACCTCTCCCCACAGGGCCTGACTTGGGAAGGTTTCCGGACAGCTGAAGGCTGTTACCGCACCGTATGGGAACGCCTGGGCCTGGCTTTCCAGACCCCAGAGGCATACTGTCAGCAGCGAGTGTTCCGCTCCCTGGCCTACATGCGGCCACTGAGCATCTGGGCCATGCAGCTGGCCCTGCAACAGCAGCAGGGTAGGAAGAGCCGCAGGCCAGCAGTTACACAAGGCACAGGACTAAGCACACAGCCTGGATGTGGACCAAAGAGGTCACTGGCAGACCTCAGTCCAGAGTGATCCCTGTGAACTGTGGAGGCCCAGCCTCCACACTGGGCCTCCCTCCTTCCTCCCACAAGTCCTGCAGCCCTGAGCCAATAGGACAATCACGCCCCTCTTCCTACCCACCTGTGCCAGTAAAAAGGGGCTGAGGAACCACTTATTTATTTCTACCCTACCCGTTCCTTCCATGGATGAAGTATTCAAGGCCAGTACATTTCTCCAAATCTATTCACGGGACAACAGATACACATGAGTATAAATAAAATACCCATAGAACTAGTTAGTGTGGTATCTGAGTTCCGGGCATCCTAACAGGCACATGAGCAAAGGCCAGCTCTCCTCTACTCCTTTTTATTTGAATACAGACAGGAGTCCTCAGGCTGAGGACTCCTCATATCCTCAAACCTAACCTGAATACCTGCCTTGCAAGATGACCAAAGAAGGGCTGTGTGTAGGTAGCCATTCCCCACTTTCTGACAGATTTGCCTGCAGGAGAAGATTGGAGCCTGAGAAGGACATCTCTGAAGACAGATCAAGGAGTGGCCAGTGCAGGGACTGCTCTGCTTGAGGCATGTGGTACAGTATGCAGGAAAAGTTGCTGGAGACCAAGAGCAGATGTTCTGAGCTATCCAGCAACTGGTGTGTGCTGTCCATGGGCAGCTCTGACGGCAGGGCAGACAGCTTCGGCTGATGATGGTCCTCGCTGGGGAGGGCACGAAGCTTGCGGTGCAACACTGAAGAGACAAAGACTGGTCAGGAGACCACACAGAAGAAACCCTCTACCACAGCCCACGCCTGAAGGTGTCCTTAAGCCTCTTACCAACATATTCAGCGGGCACACTCCCCCTTGCATCAGAGGAGTACATAGCAGGTACCAGAAGAAGGCAGAAAGAGAACACAAGGACCTAGAACACAGAGAAAGGAGATGAAGGCTCTGGGTCACACACCCCGCAGGTCTATGCCAGGGAAAGAATCTCGTATCACCCTCCTCACCAGAACACAAGTGCTGCCGCTGCTGGTTTTATTGGCTATCTCAATCACCATGGCCTGAAGCTTCCTCAGTTGATCTAGAAGGGACCTAAGAGACAAGAGGAAACAGTAGAGGCCATGCTCTGGCCGAGTACCTGAGTCACGATGAAACCCTCCTGTCTAAGCCTCCCTCTCCATTGATGCTGTGGATCCAGGCTCAACTTCCTTGCCATTTTCCCCCAAGTGACTCTGTGCACAAATGCCTGTGATTCCTTAGTAAGACAAAAATAAATACATAAATAAAAATAAATAAATAAAATAAAACTTCTTTGCACTGACTTCAAGAAAAATTCTCCAGTGCCTGATCAGCTGTGCATGTAATCCTCACCAAGCGCTGTGTTCTCTACCTTCTAGACCAGCATTCCAGAGCCAGAGTTCCAGCAAGGCACAAATACATGGTCTTCTCCCCTCCCAGTCCCATCCCCATAGCTGCAACTGCTCTGATGTTGACGACCTGCATTCGGTCTTTTCTTACTTTTTTATCTTGGTACTAAACTGCTCCTTAGCTACTTGTAAGTTTATCCTCCATCTCACTGAGCTTGAGACCTGGCTAACCTCCAGATGTTTGCATTTAGGAGCTATCCAATTAGAAGTGTAGAACAGTGGGAAGAGTGAGCAGCATTAAAACTTCAAATGGCCGCTTACAGATTCTGTTCCTCCAGACGCTGCACCTTGTTCTGTAGCTCCTGATTCTGGGCTGTGTATTTCAAGACCCTGGAGGACAACATGGATGAGAAGACGTGGATTTCAAAATAATGTGTGTCCTCCCTTCAAAAACTCGAGGTTTCTAACCTCCCCGTGTCTGTTCTTTCTTACCTGCTCTCCAGCCCCACTACGTACACCTTCTTCTTCTTTCGGCTTTCTTGAGCTGCTCTCTTGTTACGAATCTTCCTCCGTACTCGCTTTAGAACTTGTTCCTCCATCTAAGAGAAGATGGGGAAAAGGTCACCCATGGCATGTTATTATATACCTGTATATTATACCTATATATATTACACAGGTGCGTTGGAAGGCAGCTGACCTTTCCAATCAAATACTCTCCACAGCTTCTCTGTCGATAGGCATTCACTTTCTGTGTGAACATCCAGGAACAGATGTTCAACACTTAAATGCCAGACTTTTTATTTGTTATTTTTTATGTGTATGGGTGTTTTGCCTGCATGTCTGTATAATATATATGTATAATGTATGTGCCTGGTACCCACACAGGCTACAACAGAGTGTCATCTCCTGGGACAGGAGTTACAGACAATTGTGAGCTGCCATGTAGGTGCTGAGTTGGACTCATGCTCCATGGAAGAGCAGAAAGTGCTCTAAACCACTGAGCCATCTTCCACTCTGTAATTAATTTTAAAAATTCCCCTTAGCTGGGCAGTGGTGGCGCACGCCTTTAGTCCCAGCACTTGGGAGGCAGAGGCAGGTGGATTTCTGAGTTCAAGGACAGCCTGGTCTACAGAGTGAGTTCCAGGACAGCCAGGGCTACACAGAGAAACCCTGTCTCAAAAAAAAAAAAAAATTCCCCTTAAGCTAAGTGTGGTTGTACATGCCTGTAATATCAGCACTTGGGAGGTAGAGAAAGGAGGTCAGGATTTCAAGACCATCCTTGGCTAGGGTAGTTTTTAAGGACAGATTGAGCTACATAAGACCATGTCTCAAAACTAACAACAACATCATCCACCCTTATCCTAAACCAACATCAGTCTTCTTATAATTTCCATCCGTTGGATTTCCTAGACTTTCTAGAGTGACATAGAATATATGCTTATCTTAAGGTCCTTGAAACTTTTTTTTTCAAAAATTAAAACTGAATAAAGTTAACTCTGACATTCTCTGATAATGCCTATCAAACCTGGACACTAGCCAAGAGTGACATCATGCACCTGTAATCTAGTCCAAGGGAGTTAGAAGCAGGAGAATCAGGAACTCAAAGGCATTCTTTCCCTGAGGCCAGTCCAGCCTGGGCTTACAATACCCTGCCTTAACAAACGAGGGCCAGAGGGCGTGGTTCAGTGGTAGAGCATTGAAGAGCATTCATGAGGTACTATACTCCAATCCCAGTGGGTAGGGGGAATTATGGTATGCTCTGGCCAGTGTAAAGGAAGACAAGACAGTTACTGTCCTAGGGACAGACCCACTATTGATAATTTCCAAGTTCCATTTTCTTTCCTACTAATATATTGCTCATTCATCTTGTAATAGTGGTAGAGGGATAGGAGATAGTTTCTCATGTAGCCCAGGCTTGCCTGAACGCAACATGAAGTGAAGTCTGTCCTTAAACTCTGATCCACCTGTCCCAAATAAATAAATAGCTACATAACAAAAGAAGTAAAACAATATTAAAAAGGCAAATGACATAAAAACATTTGCCACAAAAACTAGATGTAGTGTGCTTGTAATCCCAGCACGTGGGACGTGACTTCGAACTTGTGAGGACCTCCCTGCCTCTGCCCCTAGAGTTCTAGGATTATAGTGGGGTGAGCCATCATGTCCAGCTTTGACGACTGTTGTTGTTAGACTGGTCCAGCCTCTCAAGCAGTTCTACCACTGAGTACAATGTGAGGTCCCATGATAACAACGAAGGCTATCAAGGCTAATAAATATTATCAAAGATAATCAACGAAGGCTTCACTTGCAGTTCTTTTCAGGGCTCTGTACGAAAGTTACTCGACATTTTAAAAAATTATCTTTTGTATGTGGGTGTGTGCTTGTTTGGAGAGGAGAGAACTTGTAGGAGTTGGTTCTCTCTTTCCATCATGTGGGTCCTGGGGCCTAAGCAAAGGCCTTTTCCTACTAAGCCGTACATTGATAATTTTGAAAGGAACACCAAAATATACATAAGCCCCACAAGATCAGGATCTACCCTGGTATCTAGCCTACTATCCACCTATCTCAGGTTCCCACTAGCAACAAGTCTGCTTCCATTCCGACCTCCGTCCTTTTGCAAATGATTGATATGAAATAAACTGAGTATGCCTACTTGGGTTACACAATCCCTCTCCAGCTTTTGCTCTACCAACAGGAACCTTACCTTAGTGAGAGGGAGTGTTGAAGGCAGGGTGAGCCCCTCCTTCTCCAAAAGCCTTTTCTCTTCTTCAGTCAGTATCAGCCTAGAAATTTCCTAAGGTTGGAGGAAATAGTGAAGAGAGCAGAGTTGCACGGGGATGTCAGAGCAGTATGGGGGAATCTTGGCTGCTGCAAAGTGAGGTAATCACGAAAAATCAAGTCCAGTACCTGCTCTGTTGCTGTTTCCTCCACACGCAGTGGAGTCACGTGGAACCCCTCCTTTTCGAAGCTCTCAGCATCTACAAAAGTGAAAGTAGGACTAGCTAGACCAGTGAGCTCTCTCCTCCCCATAACTTAACATTTCACACTCACCTAGATCTATGGAGACGTGCTCCTGTGGAAGAGAGTAGTTGTGATCATGGAGAATAGAAGAGCTGGAAGAGCTGAGGACATCCCGCGATGCCGAGGGACTGAGCAGAGAGCTCAGTAAATCCTCTACCTCCCAGTCGCTCAGTTCTTGCACGGAATTCTAACAAATTCAAAGACCTTGATTTATCTCCGTACCTTGGGTCTCGCGGACATCCTTAGCTTCCCCACTCAGAACACCCACCCACCTCGGAAGGTGACAGTTCCAAGTCCAGCGGAGCCTCCATGTCCTGCTCAGTCGCAGCCCACAAATCTCCACTTTCCTCTAGCAGGAAGCCCAGCAGGTCCTGATCACCAGGATCCAAAGCTAGCAGGTCCTGACCACCAGGATCCATTTGGGATATCTATGGATAGAAATATCTCCGCGCAGATCCACTCTCCGAACCTTAGGCACGACCCCTCAGTCTGTCAAGTCGGCTCGACTTAACCTTCGTCGCTCCCGGACAAGGCCTAGCTGTCACTCTAAACCACACCCGTCTCTCAGCTTCTATTTTCCTCAGCTTCCAACACAACGGAAGTAATGCACATAGCCCCGTGGAATCCTGGGACTTGGAGTTTCTCTCCAACTCGGAAGTGGCTCGTGTGCTGCGCCACGTCCCGGGGGCTATGCAAATTATGGGGACGTCCCTTCAGTTTCCCACACCCCAGGGCGGGGATTCTAAGGGATCCGGATCCACCTTCGCCGCGAGCTATTTAAAAAAAAAAAAAAAAAAGAGTCTAAAAGGGAACTCCAGCTCAGTTCAGGCGTTCTTTCCTGAGCTCTGCACCCTCGCTTCCTGCCGGGGAGGGGCGGCCAGGCTTCGCAGGCGCCCGAGCATCGAGAACTGCAGCCAGAGCAGCTTCCTGCAGTCTCTACAACCATAGAGCGCGGGCCCAGGGCGCCGCCGGCGGGTGGGGGACGTTTCCAGGACGGAAGTGGACGAGTGTCGAAGGGAGGGTGAGGCCGGAGCCCCAAAGCGATCGGGAGAACGAGCGGGTAGCGGGCCCAGGGCGGGGCGCAGAGCCGAGCAGCGCAGGTAGGCCGGACGGGTTGGGCCGAGCTTCTAGGTGGGACTCTGGGATCAGGCCGGCCCGGGAAGCGGCGGGCGGGGCCCCCAATCCTCCTGCATATCCTGTGTCCGGTTGGGGAGGTCAGGGTCCAGTACGTTTCTGTTTGGGTTTGAAAGTTAGCTAGCTAGCCGAGTTGCAAGAGGCAGGCCCCTTTCGCGGGAGTAGACAGTTCTGTCTCGGCTAGGTTTTGGGATGGGTAGAAGTGGGGTGGCAATGAGGCACTGGGCAGGGATGGGCTTTGGTGTTAGCCGATAGTAAGTATGTGGTTAGGAAAACTTTGAGTTTGGGTTAGGTGCGGTCGGGTTTAGGAAGCAAGGATCCCTTTAGAAGTTAAGAAGCTGGACTACATTTTAAACATGCTGCACGAGTCAGGTCTCTTTCGTGTGTGTGACATTTAAACTGGAATGACCAGCGTAAGTCAGAGTACAGGATCGGGTTAAGGATCAACAACAGGAATTGGCTTAGAAGCCCGTTTTAGGGATTAAAGGCCATTGTCATGGTCAATATTAAGAATAAACAGTGAAAAGGTGAATTTAGAACCAAGTTACAAATAAGCTTCAGGACTGGGATGGGGGCCGTATTTAGGGTTAATGTTGGGAGATTTGGGCATAAAAATAAAAGCCAGATTAGTTTGGGTGTCTGCTAGGAAAGGGGTGAATGTCAACGTATAGGGAATTAGGAAACAAAGTCAGGATTAATGTTAGGAATTGGTGACAGCGTTAGAGGCTGAGCAGGTAAAATATAAGAAGTCGGCAGCAAGTAGCTGCCTTTGTTTTGTAGTGAGTTCTCTTATTCCTGT